CTTCCTGTAGAGAGCTTCATAGTGTTGAGAGAAACAAAGCTTATTGTCATAAAGAAAGCCTAGATCTTTGACAGAGGATACGCCTTTGAGAGGATCATTACCAGTGAAGTAAGTTGCTAAGTTGGCGGTTAAGTTGGTTGGCGACCCAACTCTCATATAAACCGTTTTCTCGGGGGGACAAAGGAAGACACCATTGTAAAGACCAATCAGAAATAATATGTAAAGCATTTTGAACAATATTCATATCTTCTGGCTCTTGTATCATTCGATATAGTTTTATATCATCGGCAAACTGTTTACAAATAACACCACTTTTCCTAAAAGTGTGGGAAGTTCGGCAGTATAAATTGCAAAAAGAATGGGAGATAGGACACCTCCTTGAGGAACACCACTTTTAACCTCTTTAATATTCGAGAAAACAGATCCTATTTTAACTTGGAATGTCCTTCCAGAAAGAAATTTCTCCAACCAGCGACAAATTAGTGGATGAAACTTCAACAAACCAAGTTTGTACAAAAGCTTAGAGTGATCAACCTTATCGAAAGCTTTGGAGAAGTCAAAATAGATAATGTCACAAGACTTCTTTTTATCTAAGTAACTGCTCCAGTCATTGATACATTCCAACATATTTGTTTCTATAGACCTACCAGGAACAAATCCATGTTGATTAGGAGGAATGATTGCGTTAGTGTTAAGATAGTTTACAATGTGTTTTTTCAGAACTTTCTCGAAAATTCTGCACAAATACGAGGTTATGCTTACAGGTCTGTAGTTATCAACAGAGTGAGAGGGTTCTTTTTTAAGTAGAGGAGTGATGAAAGAATGTTTCCATCTTAGCGGCAAAGTAGTTGGTTAAAATATATGCTAGCGGTTCTGCAACAATATGAGAGATCTTTTTCATAAACATGGAAGGAATGAAATCGGGAGTAACCGACTGAGAGCAAGGTAACTTCCTTAAGAGATCAAAGATTGAAAATACTATCAAACCAGGATAACTGATCGTTCCTCTCAGAAAATACTTCACTGAACTTATCAGCCAGTAAGTTAGCTTTTTCAATATTCGACGCAGCTACAACTCCATTTTTCTTAAGACAGGGGATTTTAGAACGATTCGTCAGCCGCTCTTATTCAACAAAAAAAAATTCTATTCTATAAAATTTAAAAAAAAATTCTACAAAATTCCTTCCCTGTTCCACACACTAGAATCCTTTTCTCTACATTTCTGTTATATTTTTTGAGCAGACGATCAAATTTCTGAGAGAAATCTTGAAATTTCTGCCAGTCCTCTTCACGTTGGGAATTTAAAGCTACATAGAATAAACAAATACGATGGTTGTCCATATTTTCCAGATAGCGAGGAAGGAAGGGACGAGAACTACAGTTCGCTTTACTGGAACGAATAAATCAATCGCATGATGGATTATACTTAGAAACATTTCGTATTTCTCGTTCACGGAAGACAAAGACTCAAAAGAATTAATCCAATCAATAGAGGAAAGAATTAATAACAGAATAATAGAATTAATAGTGGGACATACAGCGTTCGACAACCTATTCTATAATCACTATACTTTTTTCAAGTGCCACAGAAACTACAGATCAAGCGTTCACAATGAGAATTCGAGTGACCAGTTGGTGCACACGCTCTGCAGTGAAGGAATTCATAAGGGAAGGAAATTCGCTCACTTGACTTGAAGACCTGATGCGAAGAGTGCATTGGAATAAGTGAGTTCCACCTGTTTCCAGTAGGTTATTTCTCCAAATTTCCTTAGAAACATGCAAGTTCAAATGATTTTATCGCACCCTTTAGCTCCCACAGGCAAACTCGGAACCATTGCTTGGAGAAAACCATTCGCCACGTCCGGCATAGCAAAAGTAGCGACACATTGGAGCATTCTAACAAGGGCCGCCCAATCAAGTTAACGTGGAATTGCTGCAGTATGTCGAGTAACACGCTGGGAAATACCAGCTTCCTCTTGTTACACATGCATTGTACGGTCCCACTCCCAGAACGCTAGCTTCGGTGAAATCAACTGTGTATAAATTATGAACCTCAAAGTCCAAAAAACACTTTTCTGTCATTGCCATCTTGATTTTGAGGCCTTTTGCTCTTATTTTCCGACAACGATTCTGACACGCGTTATCTTGAGCAACTTACATGTCCAGGAGGCATGGAAATGACGTGTGTTGAGTGTTCTTCGGATGGTCCAGAACCGCTCACTTTCTCGACAAGTTTCCTCATGAATCCCACCACTGGACTATGGAGTTTGCCGTCTGAAATGCAAAACATCAAGAAAGTGTAGAAAATTCTTAAGGAAAACAAGGGATTACAGAAAGTAAAGCAAATCGTCATGGTGCGACTGCACCTTATTTATTTGAGTGTCTCAGAAAAAGGTGACAATATTTTGAACCTCACATCGGATCTTTCTGCATTGATTTCAAAATCTAGTTACAACTGATATCGTCGCAATCAGTCGGGGCGCTGTCAGCAGAGCCAGAAGGAGCCGGCCGGTAGCAGCTTATTTACCAGTAGTGATCGATTTAGGAAGAAAACAACTGTGATGAAAACTCTTCGGAGGGGCCCATTCCATCCCTTTCGAAACCGCCGCCCCGTCTAATTGCTACGGTACCAATTGTGGGCGGTCTACA